GATAGTCTTCTTTTTGTCTCATCTTCTGCTTCTATCTACAATGTAAAACGGATAAAAGAAGAATGGATGAGTGTAATGGAAGTCTTAAAACTTATGGCGATAATGCAATCAAATTCTAAAACTTTTAATTTGAGCAATCAAATACTAAAACTTATGATAAATTGTTAAGTTTGTCGCCTTAAGGTCGACCAAAGGCGAAACATTCTTAATTTGTCACCTTAGGTCATACCCTAGGATGACAAAATCATAGTTTTGTCGCCTCAAATCAGACTTAAGCGACAAAATTCGCACATTGCCACTATTGATTCAATCGATATTGAACCTACTGCGACAAATATGAAATTAATAGAGCGGGGACGAGAACAGCAGAGAGAATGTGACAGGGAGGAGACGAGATGAAAGGCAAAGTCTATTGCGAACTTGAACTCTAGGTGGATAGGTGGAGAGCTGGGCCAAACAAGCAATATGCTACTATAAGTTCTCAATAGCAACTTAACTATGGAATGAACGAACGAACAGATAGTATCTATATTACTACACAGTGCGGCATAAAATGTTCAATCGACTAGCAAGAACATACAAACGTAGATCGTCAGCCAGAAATCACATACAGAAATTTAAATGTGTACAAGTACTTGCATGGTCAGGCCGATTATGCATCCATCCTCAAAGAGAAATCTGAGTTTCTCAAAAGATTGAGTTCTTGAGGTCTCACCGAATTTCGAAAAAATGCAAGTAGACAGCTTGCCCTCGCTTATTAGCTCAATTAGGTTTAGAGGAAACTTGAGCCTAACCAATTGACGAACAGAAGAATCATTCTAGGGTTTACTTTAAAGAGAATTTCTATTATTCACTGAACAATACAGCTCATCCTATACATCAATGAACACATCTATTTCTATATTCATGCCTATGCGAAAGACTATAAACTTCTTTCACTGGTTGACGAAATCTACTTAACTTAGAAAAGTGAGGGTTTGTTGGGTGATCATCTTTCCTAGGTATCCTACTACTAGATCAGTAACATGACCTTTTTTTTTTGCTAGAAATCAGTAACATGACCTTGAAACCATGTTTGTTAGCTTTTGCTAGAGTTGACTTTGATATTAATCCCTTCGTTGGAGGGTTTTGGAATTATTGATCGAGTCTATGTCAATTTGATTGCTCGCCATATGTTAGCATTATGGGGTTAATGGGTTTCAATCAAATGATCCCAATTGTCACATGGGAATCATGATCCCCCCTATGATTTGTACTGACTTTTTGGTTGAAGGTCGATAATTCACAGTAGGATACAAGTGGGTTACATCAAATTGGAGAAGTTGTGGAACTAGCAGCTTATTTTGCCTGTCCACCACCATTCTCATCACAAGCGATACTCCTAACTTGACCCGTGGATTGAGAAATTTGTATGGACATTGATGTTGGGTAGGAATCTACATTGCTTATATGTTAGGATTCTCTCCTATTCTTCAGTGTTGTTAGCTTTTGTCTAGATTGAATATTTTATAAATTGAAAATTGAGTTGATTTAATTGGCGTCTCTTTGTGTCTTCCATTGATCTCTCCTGTCTATAATCGATGTTAATGTCCCCTTTCTATGTATGTACTATGTGAGACGAATCAAAGGCCAATACAACGTAAACGGATAAAGAAGATTGGATGAGAGCAATACAAGTTTTTAAAACTTGTGCGAAAATGCAATCAAGTCCTAAAACTTTCAATTTGTACATTTAAGTCATACAACTCACGACGAATTATTGAATTTGTCACCTTAAGATCAAGTTAAAGTGAAAAGTTCTTAAATTTGTCACCTTAGATAATACCTTAAGATGACGACGTGATAATTTTTTTTTTTGGTCAGAAAATTAGATATATCATTCACTAAGAAAGGATAGTAGGACCCGATAAATGGGCATCAGTACATAAGAGCTCCCAAAGTGCTTGGGGAGGGGAGAAGACCCAATTCAAAGGTAGGTAGTTTTTTTTGTGGGCTTTAGCAACCCAGTCTGCTACAAAGTTGGCCTCTCTATAACAATGAATAACCCAGATACTAGAGAAGGATCGTAGCAGGTCTTTGCATTTCGAGATAAGCGCGTGAACTTCCCAACTAAGTTGATCTGGACTCTCTAAGGCATTGACTAAGTCCAAACTGTCAGACTCAAGAACAAGGACTTCGTGTCGTTTGGGAAAGAAATGAGTTAGGGCTTCTAACAAAGCGAGAGACTCAGCCATCAGCGGGGATGACGTTGCCACCGTATGAGCTGCTCCATCCAGCAACCTCCCGACGGAATCACGGCAAACGCAGGCGACCGAACCTTCCGAAGCTCCAGGTTCGTACGCTCCATCTATGTTTATCTTATAAGTTCCATACAGCGGTGGATTCCAAGTCCCTGAAAAATCGTCGGCTTTGTTCCCAGATCTGCTTGATTTGGGGTTCCATCTGTTAAAGCTCTTCAACCCAACTAGAACAGAGTCGATGAGGCTGATTGTGTCAGGTTTTCTGTTCTTGAAGATGGCTTGGTTGCGCGCCTTCCATATATTCCATAGTGTTGCAACAACCAGCTCTAGATTAGGTGAGTTGCTTGACTTTCCTTTCAAATTCCCGAACCAATCTTCAATTCGAGTAAGACCCTGACTTGATATATGAACATTCAGCACAGGGTTCGACCAAATTTCCTTCATCCAAGGACACAATAAAAATAGGTGCTCCACAGTTTCCACGCCTCGATTGCATAAAGAGCATGTGGGATCAGGTATAACTTTTCTTCGAAATAAATTCTCTTTAGTTGGGAGAGCATTCTAGCATAAATTCCACATGAAAATTCTAACCTTGGGTGGAGAGTGCAATTTCCATATATCTGTCCAGAGGGTGGGAGGAGGTTGAAAAGAAGTTGAGGCTTGATTTTCATTCTGTTTATTTGCTTTCTCTCGAATGTAGTTGTATCCACTTTTAATTGTGTACTTGCCTGCTTGAGTTCCAATCCATACGAGCCGGTCTTTCTCTATTTGGGGTTTAATCGGGATAGCAGGGATTTCTCTCACTAATTGATCCTCAAAATGTTCAGTTAAAACTGTTTCATCCCATATGCCTTCCTCACTAATAATGAGTTCAGAGACAAAACGTGGTTCATCTCTATTAGCAGGACCTCCTATGATTCCCCTCTTCAGCCATTTATCCTCCCTGATTCTTATCTGTGAACCATCCCCTACTGCCCACAGCACTTGGGGTGAGATGGAGTCTCTTCCTAGGATTAGACTTTGCCAACCCCATGAGGGGCGTTGTCCCTTTTCCGCATGCCAGAAATCTTTATGAGGAAAATAAAGGCCCTTAAATAGAATGCTCTAGAAAGAGTTTGGACTGTTACTCAGACGCCAAGCTTGCTTTCCTAACATTGCTTTATTGAAGGAGAGCAGATCTCTAAATCCCAGGCCACCCTTATCCTTTCTTGTCTTCAGAATATCCCATCTCTTCCAGTGAATTCCGGCTTTGGTCTCATTAGTTTTCCACCAGAATGAAGCAATTTTCTGTTCAATAGCCTTACAAATAGAAATCGGGATCTTAAAAACAGACATGGCATATTGTGGTAATGCTTGAACCACTGCTTTAAGCAAAACTTCTTTACTAGCTTTTGACATTAGTTTTTCCTTCCACCCTTCTAGTTTGGAATTGACTCGTCCTAAAATCCAAGCAAACATTTGTTTTTTCGATACTCCCCAATCCGAAGGAATTCCAAGATATTTGCCAGTTTTGTCAATAATAAGAACTCTCAATTCCCTTGCCATATTGTCTTTCAGAGTTTGGGGGCAATCACTACCAAAGAAAATCTCCGATTTGTTTAAGTTTATAGCTTGTCCAGATGCTAGGCAATATTGATTCAGGATAGATGCCAAATTCTGACACTCTAGAATTGTACCATTCAAGAAGAATATTGAGTCATCCGCAAAGAGTCAATGAGAAAGGGTGGGACACCACCTGTTCAGTTTAATCCCTGTGATACTTCCATTGTCTACGGCTGTCTTTAGTCATGGCCACGGGCTGGTTTCGGCCCGGAACCGGCCCGATCAAACCCGGGCCCGGACCGTTGACCGGGCCCGCGGTTGGGAACCGGAACCGGCCCGTGGCCTACCGGCCCGGTTCCGGTTCCAGAAATTTTGGAACCGGCCCGGAACCGCCGGTTCTGGGCCCGGTTCTAAAAAAAAAATTTTAAAAAAAAACCCTGCACCTGCAGTGCAGCAAGGCCCCACCCGCACCTCCTCCAGTACAGCAGTACTCCACGCCCTCCTCTGTCCTTTTCCAGACTCCCACCAGTCTTCCGCTCCACGCCTCCACCCTCTCCTCCTCCGTCCACACCCCTCTCCGCCGGCGCCACTCCCACCCCCTCTCTGCCGCCGCCGCCCCCTCCACCTCCCTCCTCCTCATGCCCTCCTGGTCCTCCCATCCTTCCCTCCCTTGCATCGGCGTCAAGCTCGTGACCCACTTCCCCGGCAACTCCTTCGCGCTGAACCTGCCGGTGGTCCACGCCGTCTTCGTCCTCTTGACTCCCTCACTGCCGCCAGCCCCTCGCCACCGCGACGCCACCGTGTTGACCACATGACCGCACCGCTGCGGTCTCGGGCCTCGCCTCCGAGCTCCTCTTGCGGACCGACAGCAAGGTCCTCGTCATGGTCAGTCCCTCCTTCCCCCCTCTCCCCTGTGCCGGTCCTCTCCTTTTCTCCTTCGCCCGCCCTCCGTCTTCCCAGATCTAACCCCCGCAGCCATCGCCCCCGCCCATGGTCGCAACCACCGATGCCGATGCCTCCTCCCCTTTTCTCCTCCTCCCCCCTCGAACCGAAACAGGCCGGAACCGGAACCGGCCCGGAACCGCCGGTTCCGGTTCATACATGGCCAAGAACCGGAACCGCCGGTTCCTGAACCGTGGCCATGACTAGCTGTCTTCATTAATGAGGACAGTACATTTGCCACCAGAATGAAAAGGTAGGGAGATAGGGGATCCCTTTGCCTAATCCCTCGAGAAGGTTTGAAGTAATGGAGAGGTTCTCCATTAAACTTAACGCTGAATGAAACTGTTGTGACACATTTCATGATCCATCCCACCCATTTCTCATCAAAGCCAATCTTCATTAGGCATGCCTCCAAGAAATCCCATTCCACTCGATCGTAGGCTTTCTTCATGTCTAACTTGAGAACCGCTTGAAATTTCTTTCTTCTCTTTTGAATTCTAATTTGATGCAACACCTCCTGGACAATAAAGATGTTATCTTGAATTTGCCTCCCGCCGACGAAAGCACTTTGTTCCATTGCAACAAGTTCTGGTAGAAGTGGTTTGAGTCTATTGGCCAGCACTTTTGAGATAATCTTGTAGCCAAAATTACATAAACTAATTGGGCGGTATTGATCTAGTCTCTCTGGGTTCGGGACTTTCGGGATAAGGGAGATGTGTGTTTTATTTAAATCTGGTGGCAGGGATCCAGTGTTGAAGAAATTCCTCACCTCCTTTAGAATATCCCATTTAATCTCTTCCCAATTCTACTAATAAAACAAACCACTAAGGCCATCAGGCCCCGGTGCTTTTGCTGCGCCGAGCTGGAAAGTTGCATTTGTTACTTCTTCCAAGGTTGCCTCAGCCAACAAGAGGTGATTCATCTCTTCTGTTACCACCCGAGATACCTGATCCAGAACTTGGCAGAAATGTCGAGGGCCGATAGATTGATATAGATCTCGAAAAAAAAGTATAGTATGTTCTTTCAACTGGCACTGCTCAAATAGCCATGTATTCTCTAAATTCTGAAGCATAGAGATCCTATTCCTCTGTCGCCTCTGAATGGTAGTTGCATGAAAAAACTTTGTGTTTCTATCTCCCCATTTCAACCAATTAATTCTCGATCGCAGCCCCCAATACATCTCTTCCTGCCTCCATAAATAATCAATATCTTCTTGCGGGTTTTTGATTCTCACTTTGTCAAAGGACCCCATGGTATTGTTTGTCAGCCACTACAATTCCTGTTTCAGCAAGTTGATTTCCCTATGTCCATTCGCGAATTTCTTCTTACTCCATTTGGAAAGAGCAAAAGTTACGGCCTGCAACTTCCCGACTAAATCCTTTTCAAAGTGAGTGGGAGAGCTCCAAGTTTCTTTCACCACCTTTCTACATTCATCACTCTCAAGCTAGAAGGCTTCAAACTTGAATTCCTTTTTTCGTTTTACAGGGTTAGCCCAAAGAGATAGAAGTATAGGACTGTGATCTGATCCTATTGCTGGGAGAGCATAAGCTTCCGCTTCAGGGAACATCAACCTCCATTCAATCGTACATACCACCCTGTCAAGTCGTTCTTTAATGTACTCGTCCCCTTCTCTATTATTGGCCCAAGTGAACGCACACCCTTTACTGTCAATGTCGATCAATGAACAGGCATCTAGACAATCCCAAAAAGCATTCATTCTATAGTTTTCAGCCAAGCGCTTTCCAACTTTTTCCCTGTAAAACCACACCTCGTTAAAGTCACCCAAACACACCCAAGGCAGTACATTCATGGAACTTATATTTTACAATTCCTCCCAAAGTTGTAGCCTTTTTTGGTACAAATAAGAAGCATAAACAAATGTAACTCTCATGTCCTTTCCACTAACCACCTCTTTACACCTCAAATTCACAAATTCCTCAGACATTGAGTCTATTTCCAGTGAAATTCTTTCATCCCACAGAATAGCCAAGCCTCCCGCCATGCCCACAGGATTAACTACAAAATAACTCTGAAAATGGAGTCTTCTCTTTATTCTCTGAATAACCTCAGCCTGATTTTTCGTTTCCATCAGAAAAACCACAGTGGGCCTAAAACGAGCCACTAAAGCTCTTAATTCTCGGACTGTCAAGGGTGTGCCCAACCCTTGACAGTTCTAGCATAGTATATTCATGGTTCACTTGGTGGCTTACTAGGCTAGCCACCAAAGCCCATGCAGCGACTTCTTCAGTCGTACGAACAGGTGTTTCAAGAAGTTGAGTTTCATCCAGCCAAGTTGGGGTTTTAGGTAGTGAATTGTAAGGACTGAACCTCTTTTGTTTTTTGGTTGAGGGAGTTTTTGGTTCCTTACAGCTCTTCTTTCTGTTGCCTTCTGAACTTGTTTGGCCAGGCTGAGAATTCAAGCCTTTCTCATGAGTAGGGCCTGTAAGCAGAAGTGCTCTTTTACCAGAATTATACATTGTTATCTCCTACGTGTAGTAGGGATCTGTCCTCATGTGATCTCCCTGTTGTATATTGGAATTAATTAAACTCAAGCGATAAAATTCACACATTGTCGCTATTGATTCGATCGATTTTGAACCTACGGTGACAAACATGAAATTTATAGAGCGGGGACGAGAACAATAGAGAGAAAGTAGTAGAGAGGACACGAGATGAAAGGCAAAGTCTACTGGGAGCTTGGATTCATAGGCGGAGAGCTGGGCGGTGGACAATGTATTGACTTGAGGCTTATAACTAATAGGCAATATGCTACGAGCGAGAATAAACGGACATTATGTTGGGAACCATACATCGATTCCAGAAAAATAACCTAACCAAACGATCCTCACTAGCAGAATATAATAATAGAAAGAACAGAATTGAAAGAACACACCAGAGAATTTGTTATCAAAGTTCACCCAAACTTGGGTTACGTTTTCGCGCAGAGGCACTCTGCAAATCCACTAGATTTTGAAGAAAGTAGGAATATAATAATGATCTTCTCTCAAGATCGGGGCACAAAGAGATTGAGAATACTCACAAAGAAAAAACTCACTTTTTCTTCTCTCTTTTCTTTTCTCTCTATTTTCTTCTCAGTGCTTTTCTTCTCAGCGCTTGACGGCTAGTTTCTATCAATAGCTGATAAAGTATAGCTTTTAACCTAAAAGCAAAATTAATAGAAAAGACAAAAAAGCTCTTAATAATAATATTTGGCTTCATCCTCCAACAATCTCCCACTTGAAGATAAATATACCCGATACACCAAGCAACTTTGCATCCATCTACTTCAAAAACTAGTAATTGGAACTTGTGCCTCTACGATACCCCTCATCAATTAACATGGAGTAATACCAATGGTAGAAGTACAGAAAACAAGTTTCTCTTTGTCTACTACCTTGGTAAACATATCAATCGGATTATTCGCGCCATCAATCTTCTGTAACTTTAACTCATTATCTTTCAATGCTGACCTGATGAAATGATAACACTTCTTGATATGTTTAGTCCTTGACTGATAAGCTGCATTATTTGCTAAGTGTATTGCACTTTGACTATCACTCCACAGTGTGCTTACTGGCTGTTTTCGATGTAGCTCCTCCATGTAATCTTGTAACCACATGATTTCCTTGGAGGCTTCTGTGATCGCCATGTACTCTGCTTCTGTCGTCGATAGAGCCACTACTTTGTGTAGTTGAGATACCCAACTCACTACTGTACTTACAACTGTAAAGACATATCCAGTGGTACTCTTACCACTATCTTGATCACCCAAGTGATCTGCATCCACATAACTCTGCAATTCTAGAGGTGTCCCTCCATAATAAAGAGAGTGATTTGATGTACCTGCTAGATATCTCAATATCCATTTTACTGCGTTCCAATGTTCTTTGCCCGGGTTCTACAAATATCGACTCACAACTCCCACTGCCTATGCAATGTCTGGTCTTGTGCTCACCATGGCATACATTAAACTTCCCACTGCTGATGCATATGGGACTGTTGCCATCTCATCTTTCAAAGCCTGAGTACTTGGACACATATCCTTAAAAAGTTTGAAGTGACTTGCTAGAGGAGTCGCAACCGGTTTTGCCTTATTCATGTTAAATCTCTTTAACACCTTCTTTTACATAGTCTTCTTGCGACAACCATAATTTCTTATTTTTCCTGGCTCTAATGATTTTCATGTCTAGGATATTCTTGGCCTCTCCCAAGTTTTTCATAGCAAACTGCGATGCCAACATCTTCTTCACTTCTACGATTCTCTTCATATTAGAACTAGCCACTAGCATCTCATCCACATATAAAGAGAGATATACGATATCACCATCGCTATACTTGCGAAAATAAACACAATGATCAGCTTCACAGCGTGCAAAACCTTTTTCTTCCATGAAACCATCAAACTTTAAGTACCATTGCCGCGGAGCTTGCTTCAAGCCATACAAGCTTTTCTTCAAGTGACAAACCATGTGCTCTTTACCTTTGACCTCAAAACCTTTAGGTTGCATCATATATAACTCTTCATCTAGGTCCCCATGCAAAAACGCCGTTTTCACATCCAATTGCTCGAGATGAAGACCCTCCACCGCAACTATACTCAGCAAAACTCTGATCGATGTCATCTTTACTACCGGTGAAAATATTTCGGAGTAGTCAATTCCTTCTTTCTGAGAAAAGCCCTTGACCACAAGTCTCGCTTTGTATCTGATACTACCATCTGCTTCATTTTTTATCATGTACAGCTACTTATTTAACAAAGCCTTTTTACCTGTAGGCAACTCGGTCAACTCTCAAGTTTTGTTCTGAAGTAACGAGCTCATCTCGTCTTTCATAGCACGCTCCCACTGCATGTGAGATGTGTCTTTCTTTGCCTCATCATAAGTCTCCGGTTCTCCCGAATCTGTATATAAGATATGGCTCAGAACAATATTAGCTGATGGATAAAAAATTACCTTTGGCTCTCTCACGCATGTAGACCTCCTCAAGACAGGTACTTCAGGGTCGTTAATCTGTTCTGGATCACTGCGTTCTTCTTGAACTGCCTCTTCATTGATAATATGTTCATCTTGAACCTCCCCTTCAGGTGCACTTTGATTCGCTGGAACTATTTTCACAGGTATTGTGTCCAACTCAACATATTCTGGTTCTATTGTAAAGACCCGGGGTCTACACTGTGTAATATTGTCCGCTTTGGGCCTATTGACCCTCACGGCTTTAAAACGCGTTACACAGAGTAGAGAACCCAAGCCTTATAAATTAGCCCAGGACTCCCCCCCTAAGCGATGTGAGACAAGAGACATGCCCCCCCTTGCCATCCTAGAAGCCTGCCAGGAGCCGCTCCTTGTCCAGGCCCTCTGGCCCCGGCGACCACTCCCCGCCCTCGTCGGACCGGGTCGTTACATTCTCCCCTCCTTCGAGCACAGCGTCCTCGCTGTGGCCCCACACGCGGTCGGGAGTCGGCTCTGATACCATTTCAAAGAGACCCGGGGTCTACACTGTGTAATATTGTCCGCTTTGGGTCCGTTGACCCTCACGGCTTTAAAACGCGTTACACAGAGTAGAGAACCCAAGCCTTATAAACTAGCCCAAGACTCCCCCCTAAGCGATGTGGGACAAGAGACATGCCCCCCCTTGCCATCCTAGAAGCCTGCCAGGAGCCGCTCCTTGTCCAGGCCCTCTGGCCCCGGCGACCACTCCCCGCCCTCGTCGGACCGGGTCGTTACATCTACTGCCTTCTCATGCTCTGTCTGATGATCCTTGTACATCTTTTCTTCATGGAATACCACATTCCGACTGCAGATGACTTTGTTATTCTCATAATTCCAAAGCCTATAACCATACTCATCGCCACCATATCCGATAAAGACGCACTTCTGGGACTTAGCATCAAGCTTCTTCCTGTCCTCCCTATCAATAAGAGCATGCGCAATACAGCCAAAAATTTTTAAATATGAATAATTAATCTTTTTATCTGGTTACTACTCCTGCGGTATTTCTCCATCAAGTGCACTAGATGGACTCCTAGTAATCAGATAAACAGCTGCATCAATTGTAGCAGCCCATAAGTGTAGCAGAAGACCCGCATCTAGTCTCATGCATCTTGCGCGCTCTAAAATAGTCATGTTCATTGTCTCAGCTACACCATTCTCTTGAGGAGTTCTAGGAACAGTCTTTAAATCGTGTATGCCTTCTCGACTCAAGTATTCTGCAAATTCCTTGCTGGTGTATTCACCACCATTATCAGACTTTAGAGCTTTAATTTGATAGCCTATCTCTTTTTCTACCATAGCCTTCCACATTTTGAACATCCCGAATACTTCTGATTTTTCTCTAAGAGCATAGACCCAAGTCTTCCTTGTCGCATCATCAATGAATGTGACAAAATATCTCTTACCACCATAAGAGAGTTCCTGAGCCGGTCCCCACACATCCGTATGAACCAACTCTAATTTTTTACCTTTATTCTGTCGCCCATTCAACTGAAAGCTGACTACCTTTTGTTTTCTATAAATGCAACTCTCACAGAAATCTAACTCAACTTTCTGCAAACCTTGAAGTAATTTCCTTGAGTGTAATTGCTTTACACCATTTTCACCAAGATGTCCCAAACGATAATGCCAAAGAGTAGACAAATTACTTGTAGCCACTATAGTTGTAACCATATCACTGATATTATCTCCCTAGAGAAGGTAAAGTGTACCCGTATGCTTTCCCTTTGCTACTACTGTTGCCCCTGAAGTTATCTTCCACTCTTCAGATCCAAAAGTTGTTACCAAACCTTCTTGGTCAAGTTTACTAGTTGAGATCAGAATTTTTTTTTTAATTATGGGATATGTCTAGTTTCACGCAAAACTAGATGTCTTCCATATGAGACGTTTACAATCACAGTTCCTTTTCCAACAATCGGACACATGTGGTCGTTTCCCACAACCACTTGCCCAAAATCTCCACTGGCATAATCAGCAAAGATGTCTCTTTACGAGGAGCAATGGAAAGAAGCACCGGAATCAATAAACCACTGATTTGTCGTCAAGTCATACCCTGCAGATAAACATAAGTTCTCTAACGAAGGTTCATCGCTAACCATATTAGCTCCTTGATTCTCATCCCGCTACTTCTGTTTGTAGGCTTCACACTGAAACCTCCGGTGTCCAATCTAGTAACAAAACCGATACTCGTCTTTTGCAACCTCTCTTTTTCCCCTTGATTGTGACCTGCCACGCCTGTTGAATTTTCCTCTGCTTTTACTTCTCCCACGGTTCTCCACTACTAGTGCCGTGGAAGATATAGATGGCGAAAAATTATTTCCACCTGAAAATTTCCTTCGCATCTCTTCATCCATGATACTGCTCACAGCATCATCCGGAGTCAAATCATCCTTCATGGTGCTTGAAATTCCTTGCATTGCGGTGTTGTAGCTTTTCGAAAGAGAACATAAAAATAATAAAGCTTGAAGCTTTATATCCAGATATATGCCTACGGATTCCAACTGACCGGTGACTTGCATGAAACTATTAATATGCTCTGCCACGGAACCTCTATCATATAACTTCATATTAACCAACTTTTTCAGCAAAATTACTTGATTTGATGTGGACGGCTTCTCATATATATTTGTAAGTATATCCATGGCTTCTTTTGCAGTTTTTGCTTTCGCGATATGGTACCCTGTCTTTTTCGTCAACCCTAGACGAATCGCACCTAATGCCTTTCATTCAAGAATTTTCCATCCCGATTATGCTGTCAGATCCACTTCCGCGAGTTCGGGTTTCCAACCCTCAAGTGGTGTATAGAGATCTTTCTGATAAAGATAATCCTCGATTTGGAGTTTCCACCATCCGAAATCCTGCCCGTCAAACTTATCGATCCTGATTTTATCTTTTGCCATATTGTTTGCTTTCAATCAAACGTCACCAAAAAATCCTCAATGTTCTTGATTAACCAACCAAGCTTTGATAAAAGTTGTTGGGAACCATACACCGATTCCAAAAAAATAACCCAAGCAAACGATCCTTACTAGCAGAATATAATAATAGAAAGAACAGAATTGAAAGAACACACCAGAGAATTTGTTATCGAAGTTCACCCAAACCTAGGCTACGTCTCCACGCAGAGGCACTCTGCGAATCCACTAGACTTCGAAGAAAGTAGGAATACAATGATGATCTTCTTTCAAGATCGGGGCACAAAGAGATTGAGAAGACTCACAAAGAAAAAACTCACTTTTTCTTCTCTCTTTTCTTTTCTCTCTATTTTCTTCTCAGCGCTTGACAACTAGCTTCTATCAATAGCTGATATATAAAGTGTAACTTTTAACCTAAAAGCAAAATTAATAGAAAAGACAAAAAAGCCCTTAATAATAATATTTGGCTTCATCCTCCAACACATTAATCATCAACGAGAAATCACATACAGAAATTTAAACATGTACACATATACCTGCATGTCCGGCCAATTATGTATACATCCTCAAACAGAAAATCGAGTTTTTCAAAATATTAAGTTCCTAAGGTCTCATCGATTTCGGAAAATGCAAAATTTGACATGGGCATGCTTTTGTATGTTGTTGCTACCACTAGAACAATGGTATATTTGCCTTTTGGTTTGCTCTGGACTCATTCCTAGGTCTTACCCGGCTCCTAACCCTCATATCACCAAGCTTGCTTAATCGAATTATGACATTACGTACATCCATTTAACAATCTAATTCCTGAATTATGTCCATATCTACCAATCTCAAGGAGTCGCTCAGGTGGTAAACGTGCTTCTCAAAGCCTAAATTCGAATCACTGTATATGTGTGTTCTTGTGGGGCTACTCTAGAATTTATCCGACGCGAATGGGACAAGAGACGATGACACTTGATTGAATTGATCGAGTACTAGAAATATCGCGAGCATCCCAATTGTCCCGAATTTGCCACTAACTTTTCACATGTACAATGGCCCATCTTGTTTTAGTTATATGAGCCTACATGAGAAATAGATCTGTCAAAATGGGTTATAGATCCATTTATTAACCCATATTTGATACTATAACCCATATCTGATGGGCTAAGTTATTATATTTGTTAGTTATATTCAAAAAATTGATTATAAATAGATTTAAAATGACCAAACCAAAATAATGTATATGTTAAATAAGTTTACAACTTTTTTAGACCCAAGCCACCTCTATAACTTTCTATTCCTCTCACTTGATCTCACGCTTGCTTGCTCCATGCTCTCACCTAAGTTTGAGTATAGATTTTTCTAAATTTGATTATAATATTTAGATTTGTATAATTTTTATGATCACTAGATTTGTATTACATGCAAATGAGTCAAAACGGTTTAATAGGTCAATTCAAATTGGACCATTTTCGACCCAACCTTCTGTTTTGACGGGTCTACACAAGAAACATTCCATAAGGACAAGAGTATCCGTAACCCTCCTACAGTCAATCTCCAAGTTGATCTTGAATTTGTCGTACACCCATAAAAATGCTCCAAGCATGGACCTTAGTCAATGAATTTTATCTTATATACAGTCTCAATTGATCAGGTAAAAACTGATTTCACAACTAATTTCGTGAAGATTACACATCTACGACCTCATGTACACGCGGTTGGCGATGGTCTAATGGTCCCGAATAATGAGTTAAGACATCAAAAATCAACCACCGATGCAACATCATCTTCTGTGTCTGTTAAAGGAAGAATCCTCTGATGTGAAATCTAATCCAAAGCACTTGAGGAACGCTATCCTCGCTAGCCTAACTATGGAGCAAGGGTGGTGATCCATGTAGCTGGGACTCGAGTTCTCTCCTTCCATCGTATCTTCTTCACTGGCTACTCCTCTGCTCGCACTCGTCGCGATGAAGCCTTTGACGCTCTGGCTTTCTCCGACCTGCAACTTTTCGGTTCAAAAAGCGAGGTTAGCCAATGTTAAGTTGTGAAAGCAGGCTCACTGCGCAAGATACACAATGACAAAGAATCCCAAGATATACGTTCAAAGAAAGAAATCAGTCGGACTCAGTTGGACTTCGGACATATTGATAAAACGCATGGACTCAAATGGAGTCTGCATTTGATTTTTTAATGTTCCTTTCGGTTGGACCCTGCATTTCAGAACATTGAACACTCTCAAAATCGATGCCACTAATATATATTTTCTTCTTTTGCATAGCGGGTCAGTTGGTGTCCCAATCAACTTTCGCGCACTCCGACCAGTCCACCTCCACGGGCTATCCAAACGGCGCACTCCACTATTTTGCCCCAATGCATTCAGTATTTGACTCTCGCTCCCACCCAATACCAGGAGAACAAACTCTCTTTCCATATAGGCCAACACTTCCAGGGTCATTTTTTAATTTCTTACAATGTGTAGACTCTAAGCACATTGGCATTAAAAACTTTAAGATTATTTACGTGCCAGCATGAAATTCTACTTATTTTGTTGGGGGGTTTTCTCTTGACGAGGTTATGCAGAAAAGCAAGGAAGTAAAAGGTACGTGCAAGATGGGAGTAATGATGACAAGAAGATGACCAGGTTATGCAGAAAAGCAAGGAAGAAAAAGGTACGCGCAAGATGGGAGTAATGATGACAAGAAGATGACAAAGGACCAACAAGAAGGCATTCACATGCACATCGCAATTCTCCATGTGGAAAATATTTTTTCAAAAAGAGAGCTATTATTGCACACCCCAGTAACCAACCCAACCAGAAAAAAAAAAAAAAAAAATTTACGGACTATATTGAATATACGACAAAAAGACCAATACCCCTGACTCCTCCCACCCTTTATACTTTGATTCAAAGGAAATCATAGTTTCTGCCCTACATATGTCTTTTATTTTTAATTTATTCATCAACCTTTCAATACCTCTTGTGTACACACCGAAGCTTTGGCTGGCGGCGTTTTCTTGCGATTGATTATTCTCAAGAACCGTCCATTTCCGAAGCAAGGAGAAAGAGGCACGTCTCTGGTGGAGACAACTTGGCTTGACCTCAAAGGTAAGACCTTTCGGTGGTGACTCACCTAACAGTACAAGATCCCAAAATTTCAATTTTAATCAAAGGCGAAAGCTGATGTGCCCGCAGCATTCGAATCTCACCATAGAATAATTGAATCCGAGCGCCTCATCCCACCGACTGAACACCAGATGCTCCAAAAGAAAAAAAAAACAAATAACTTACTGATCACATGACAACACAGCTATTTGAGAAATGGCACAGCTCATCCTACACTGGCAAGACACTGCTTGTCTGCCTCGCCGTAATTATCTAGGAAAAAAAAACATTGCTTAAATCCATCGCATAAACCGGTCCAGATTCGGGCATCGACCGAAAGTCTATGCTTTTTTATGAGACCCAAAAAATACCGGAATCAAGATTCGATTTAAAGTTCGTATTTATTCATGAAGCAAAAAAAAAAAAGAAAAGGTTTTGGACAGAATTAATACTCGAACCAAAGTTAATACTTTCTCTCAAGACTTAGAAACCGACCTAAAGTTTGTGCCTTTTAAGGAAATTAGTGTAGACGAATCACAAGCAGCAGATGTACGTATAGTTATGTATACGTGTACATAGAGGATTGTGGAGCATACCTGTAACACGACTGTACAAGGATTGTTAGCATCAACATTCTAGTGGGGGACAAATGCATAAGTTTAGTCGACATGACCCCCAGGGAAGCGAGAGGGGATGGCGATTGGATGCACCCCCATTTTATCAAACGGGTGGGGGGGTCCCAAACCACAAAAGGCAGGGAGACCCAGACGAGATTCCCCCAGATCGGAGTGTCGGAAATCGATCGGATGTCATCGATCAATCCAAAATTCGGATCAAGATTTGGTGCAACCCACCCCCCATCACTATCCCCCCCCACCCTTTTCACCGAGATCCCATCGTCGCCCGCCCAATCTTCGAGTTTTAAAGAAGAATAAGGTCCCAATCGGCCGTAGAAGGAAAATCTTAACGGAAGTTTGGAAAGCTCCGGATGGATGGGCCCCCCCATGAGAATCGTTGAGTTCCGTGGGGGGGCAGGCATACCCGCAAGCAAAGGTCGGAGGGGGGATTCCGATGCTTCGCGACGAAGCTTCCGTCAGGTCGAGCAATGCGACCAAATGCACCGACGGATTTGGATGGGGGGAAAGCGATGGCGACGCGGAAGGATCAAAGCCGGTTTCCACTCTGTTTTGTTTTGTTCTTCTTTTTTTTTTTTTGCGAGTTGAATTTGATTTGGAGAAGAAGGCCGACGGCGGTGATGCGGAAGAAGTTTCGGCCTTCCAAGTCGCTGCTTTCAGCGACCGTGAACTGGCCGACGGAGTAGAAAAACGAGCGATTCTTGAAAAGTCCCCGTCGTTGAATCGCGATGATTCGACGGGGACGAGAGCACGGAGCATCGGTTCGCGCGAGCAGGAAACCAGTCCTAGCGCCGCCGAATCGGTCCCGAATTCGCGACTCTCGGCTGCGCACGCTCGGGCGAAGAAACGAGCAAATCACTTCGTATAAATCTCTAACGAGCTCCGCGAATCCACGAGCGAAGCAATAAAAACTCGAGTTCCGACACACGGTTCGAAGGCAGAGCAAAAGAGTCGGCCGGGGCCGTACCTGGTGAGCGCCGCCGTGGGCGGCGAGGAACTGCTGCTTGCGGGACCGAGATCCGCGCGATTCCAGAGGAGGCGGCGGCGGCGGCGAGGGCGGAGGCGAGGAGGAGGAGGAGGAGGGAGAGGCGGCGGCGGCGGCGGAGGAGGAGGCGGCGTTTGAGGAGGTGAAGGAGTAGAGGAGGAGGAGGAGGAGGAGGAGGAGCATGACGAGGAGCTGGATCCATATGAGCCACGGTATCCTCAAGCTCTCCAGCACGAGCTCGTCTCCGAACTCCACCATGTCCGCGCCCGACCTTCGGCAGCTTCTTCTTCTTCCTCTTCTTCTTCTTCGTCTTCGTCTTCGCCTTTCTTCTTCGTTGGAGCAGAAGGGGGAAGTAGAGAGAGAAAGAGAGAGAGAAATAAAGGGGAAGAGAAGGAGGGCATTAATGGAGGTGCGGACCTTGGGTCGTGCTGCTCGTGTCGTGGCGCGCGCGTGAGGGGGTTGCGCCTCACTCGTGGGGGTGAAGCCGACCGCCACATGAATAATGGGGGGGACTCAGCTTTCTTTGTTTCTTTCTCCAGTTTCCTTTTTATTTTTTTGAGATTAATATTACGAAAAACCTCATATTTGTACATTTGTGATAAATTTACTTCAAATTAATTTTTTCACCAGCTGATATGATAAATTTACGTTCCGTTAATTTCCGTTAAAATAGCACGTGGCAGTTGACGGGTTTGGTTTTACCCCATTCGTTCATTACGGATTTATCAATTTGTGATTTTTTATGATATTAATTCAATTTAACAAAGGGTAAATTTATCGCAAGTGCATCATTTTAGGATTTTGGGGTAAATTTATCACGGGTGTATCAATTTGGAACTTTTGGTGATCAAAAAATTAATTTTGGGTAAATTTGTCACAAGTGTAACAATTTGGGGTTTTTCGTTGTATTAATTCTTATTTTTTTGGGTAATCATACGAACGGCCCCAACTTTTGCTGAATGTTTGAAACGTTCCCTGCCGTTTCTTTTTCCTAGTTGGGAAAATGACACAAATAATCTTTGAACTTTAATTCAAAGTGCAATATGGTCCATAAACTTTAGTTTGTTCAATGTGATCCCTGAACTTTCAATATGTTCAATGTAGTCCCTAAACTTTTGATACATGCTCAATTTAGTCTATAAACTATCTCAAAATGTTCAATGCTATCTCTAAATTTAAATTAATTGAAGGACACCATTGAACAATTTTATTTAGTTCAAGGACTAAGTTGAACATATACCAAAAGCGTAGATACCACATTGCTCACTAGGTTAAAGTTCAAAAACTACATTGAATAAATTAAAAATTTCGGGACCACATTGCTCATTGAACCAAAGTTCAAGGACTATATAACCCTTCTTGGTTCAATCCAATCCCTCACTGTTCGAAAGTCCACTCAATATGGCATTTTTCATTAAGGTTCCGTTTGTTTCACGAAAAATAAATAATTTGTAAAATATTTTCATAAAACGATCGTTTATATCACTTGAAATAATTGTTTTATGGGAAATGTATTCATAGTCGACAATAATTTATATCTCTACATTTTCATAAATAATGAAAATATTTTTAGTTCATTCGTTTTTGTAAATAATATAAGTGATCATTTTTTTAGAAATTTTTTTCTAAATCATTCATTTTTCGTTAAAACAAACGAAGCTTAAGTGTATTGCATAATTATGTGCATTTTTCTGGCATGGACTATCACATCAAGGTTTGTTGGGTCAAAATAATGATGGGGACTATCACGTAGTTTTTTCAAGTTGGCAAATCTCTTTTGTTGTATCTTTGGGCCGAAATAATGAGAGAGATATTACGTGGAAGACACGTGTAAGCAACTTAAACGCTACCATGACAAATCTAACTTCGAGTTAACAGAAATTGTGGTCACATCAGCTAATGGTGTTAGAATTTTTAACGCAAGGATTAAATTGGATGGATTTTCCAAAGTTCAAGGAATAGATTGAATCAAAAAAAGTTCATGAACCTCGTTAAATAACGAAGAAAAAAGTTCATGAACCATGCATGTCATTGCCCCTTTTTTTTTAATACCCTTTTTCCTCTTCTGTGAAGTCTATCAATATGAACAAATAAGGTGGAGACTCGAGAAAAGAGAGAGGATGGATTATATGGATGGGCCATGTTTTCATCTAGTTCCAACTACTAATGAGCAAGTTACAAGTATGAATATCATCCACACTTACGTATAGTTAAGTTGGCGTGTAGATGATGTTCAAAACTAAGATATGAGTAGCGAAAGTTTTTTATGGTCATGGACGCATGAAAAATGTAGCCCTCTCAGGATTAACCAAAAATGGCTGACATCGGCCCAAAATAAATTCTAAAATTAAAAACATATTTAAAAATAAAAAATTATTAAAAATAAGAGGGAAAGTAAATTATTTACTCTCTAAATGCTCCAATAAATTCGTAATTTAAAAAAAAAAACATGATGAAGAATCAAATAAGCAAGAAAATAAGTGGCGGTAATACAAAAAAGAAAAATGAGATAAAAAATGGCCTCAGTTCAGCCATTGGCTCAAGAGCGTTGGGCTCTAAATGAGCTTCTCGAATTATACTTACTGTTCTCATAACTTTACTTGGATAAAAAGTTATGTCCTATTGAAGTCAAGATATGCAAAGTGAGTTTATTTTATAGATTGTAAGAGAGATTATTGTTAATTGTTTTAGTTAGGCGTTTGATTATAGATAAAATAATAAAATAATATTTTTTATTTTAACGAAAAGTAAAAGATTCAGCCTAGGCCCAAAGTGGCCTGGACCGAACCGATTTAATTCGGCTCGAGCGATATTCCCAAGTAACAAGACCTACAAATCCCACGACAGGTCTGTTTGGACTGGGCTGGGCCGAAAACGACTTGAGGCTTTTCGTTAGTGGTGGCAACAAACAAAAGTGAAAATTATCTTTAACAAAAGGAAAGTTGCATTGAACTATTCTAAAAATTTTGACCATGTAGTCAATTGGTCATTTGTTGAGATCCCAGAAGTTAAAGTGTTAGTCCCTAGATACATCTTCAATCTTTGTTCAGATCATCTGCATTGGTGCCTCGGTACCAATTATCATCCACAAATGGCCTTTGCAACTACCTCATCTTTAAAGTCCACAAGGAACAGATTCCTACAATCTATCGATCGGGGGAAATTATCTAAAAAGTCCCTAAACCTATTACACTTTTGCCAATTCAATCTTAAACCTTTCAATTTTGCTAATTGAGTCCTAAAACTTTTCACGTGTTGCCAATTGAGTCAATTGGGCCAATTTTAATAGGAAATTGCTGATGGAAGTTGATGATGCCACATACGACGGCTAATACTGACGTGGACAATTTTTTATAATTTTTATTTTTTGTTCTTTTCTTTTCTTTTTTCCTTTTTGTTTTTTTTTAATTTTTCTTCCTTCAAGCCCGGTGAAAAGAAATAAAAAGAAGAAGAAAAAAACAAAAATAATAATAATTAAAAAAATTCGAAAAAAATTTAAAATATTATTAAAAATTGTCTACGTCAGTGCCGCTTGTGTCACTTGGGATGGCTAGCGTCCATGACTAAAATTGGCTGGATGGACTCAATTGGCAAAACGTGAAAAGGTGTAGAACTCAATTGGCAAAATTAAAAGATTTAGGACTGAATCGATAAAAGTGCAATAAATTTAGGATTTGTTGGACAATTTTCCCCTCGACAGGTAGCTGAAGATCTTCTTCCTGTTCCAAGCACGGGTACAACAAGAGCCAAAGAGAAGCCAAGTTGCAGGAACAGGTTGTTACGTTTGACCAATCCAAGCTTTGTCCTATTTCCTTTGGTTCATTTCAACCCATGACCACCTTCCTTCATAAGGCAAGCATATATCTCTCAATCTCATTCAGACCATCTGAACCACTCATCAGCTGTACTAGACCGCCGTGTCCGCAGCCTTTTGGCTGGATTGCGCGGCGCCATGTTGAAACCGTGCTGT